GTTATAATTCCACTCCTGACTTGACTGATACTTTCCTTCCATCATGGGGGAACTCTTCCGGAGTGAGGAGATGACCCTGGCCCAGCTTTTCCTCCAGTCGGAAGCTGCCTATTGTTGTGTCAGCGAGTTAGGAGAACTTGGGAAAGTTCAGTTTCGTGATGTAAGTAGCTTCTTTCCTTTGTTTCTAGAATGTATCAAATTAAAATCCTGGCCACTGTGGGGGTTTTTTTGCTTAATTATGACAATTTACTCTGCTATTTTGGTGTCCATTTGTGCTGTAGGAACATCTGTTGATTCCCTTTAGCTATTTAATTGTCAGTAAAATAATCCATGTCGCAAAAAATGTCTTTGCCTTTGTCTCTAGAAAAATGCATGCAATATCCTTGACAACTAGTGGTAATGAACCTTTTCATTACACATTCCTAAGGAAATATGTTTCTGTTTGCAGCTGAACCCAGATGTGAATGTGTTCCAGCGTAAATTTGTTAATGAAGTCAGAAGGTGTGAAGAGATGGACCGAAAACTCAGTATGTCCTCATTTTATTTTGATATATTTCAGAATTCATACTAGTACCTCACCTTTCCCTGCAGAGACCCATCGTAATGTGCCAAAGAAACTATAGCTCTGTTAAAGCAGCTACGTAATGTGTATTCTGGTTAAGGTTGTACTAAAAACAAGCGTGGATTGAGTGGATTACGCTATAGCTTGTCAGGGGAGGGAAGGAGAAACTTGGTATGGAGGCAGTCTTGATATTGCAGTTTCTTGTCCTTGTTTCTGTTAGCGAGTCTGATAGTGAAATAACATATCTCATCTCTCTCTAGGGTTTGTTGAGAAGGAAATTAAAAAAGCAAATATCCCGATCCTGGACACTGGTGAGAACCCAGAGGTGCCTTTTCCACGTGACATGATTGATTTGGAGGTAATGAGTTTAAAGCTATGTTGTAATATATGAGCCTGTGTAGTCATTCCAGTTAGAGTATTTGGAGTTTAGTGCAAAGTACATAGGGTAGGGGTAGCAAATTCACCCTGGCCAGATCTGAACCACAGGGGATCCTCTTAGGTCAGATCTGTGTGGTCATGTTTGGGGGCCAGCATGGGTCTGGGGCTGTGCAGCAGTGCAGAGCTAGGGGCATGCAACAGGTGCAGAGCTCTGGCTTGGCATGTGCACAAAGATATGTCTGGGCAGTGGCATGGAGCTGGAGCCAAGGGTGTGCAGCAGTGTGGATGTGACTGTGGGCAGCAGCCCCTCAGTTCTGTGCTGCTCCCCAAATGTGACTCTGTGCATCTACATGCCCTGGGCTCTGTGTTGCTGCCCAGCCAGGATTCCTTGCTGACGCATGCCCTTGGCTCCATGTTGCCCAAATGTGGCTCTGTGCTGCCACGCAACAGTAAAACTCTGATTTCAGTGTAGCTGCATTAATTTATATCGGTTTAGAGTTGGGCTCACAAACATTATTTTGGTTCACATGCTGTGTTGTATGTACACACATTGCTCTTTAAAAATGAAGGACCGAGTTTAGAACTCATGTGAACTGGTGCAACTATTGACCTCATGAGAACTGCTGCAAAATGACAGTTTGCAATCATTTTGAAATCAATATGTAGAGTTAAGAGACTTTACCAACCCAGAAAGAACACAGGTAATCTTTGTATAGAGCAAAGTTGGTGCTGTTGTTTTTTTGCTTTTTTTTGAAGTTCTGTCCTTGGAAAGGATGGGGAAAGGTCTAGCACAGGTCTGCAATAGTTATGCAGATTTCAGCTTGATGCAAGTGGCATTCCATAACTATATGCAACTGAATCTTAAAAAAATCTTACCCTGAATACAGTCATTAGTTGGGCTTAGTAGTGTTTATTTTTTAGATTCATACTAAACTCTATCTTTTACATTTTCTCTTCCTTCACCTTAGGCAAACTTTGAGAAAATTGAAAACGAGCTTAAAGAGATCAACACAAACCAGGAAGCTTTGAAGAGAAACTTCTTGGAGCTGACAGAGTTAAAATTTATACTGCGCAAAACACAGCAGTTCTTTGATGAGGTCAGAATATCGGGATTCATAATGCTTGGACAACTGGTCCTTCCGTTACAAATTTGCCAATTTATTTATTCTCTAGAGGTGTTTTATTTATTTATTTTCAGTTGCTATTTTGGAAAGCAATGTCACATTTATACTCTTGGTTTAAGAAGCTTTCTCAAATTATTTACCATTTTTTATTTCATGCGCACATAGTGAATCATGGTTTACATTTCCTGATTTTATTTTTGTATATATTTTTTTACAGTTGTTCACAGTAAAACACAAAACCAATCTCCACAATTAAGTCTAAACAAAGTGTTATTTCTACGGGTGCACAGATAAAGATTATTATTTCTTTGCCAGTACCTGTGGCCGATTTATTAACCAGCCATATTGGCTGATACCAATCTGATAGCTGATATGCAGCTTGGAGAGCAGCATCCAGCTGGTAAGTCTGGAGTGGGGCTGGAGATTGAAGCCCCTGTGGTGAGGGAGGGAATGGGGCAGGGGCAGGCTCTGCCCAAGTGGGGCGGGGTGCAAGGCAGACCCACAGGCAGTTTGTCCAGGGGGCATGGGAAGGAGGGGAGGGGAGGTGGTTCCTTGCACTGCGCGCACCCCAGGGTAGGCATAAGGGGCATATGCCTCTCTGGAGTTATGCATGGGGTGGGCTGCCTGCTGCAGGCTCAAGGCCAGGGACTGTGCCAGCCTCTTGGTGGGGGACTGGGCTAGAGCTGCCCTTCCAGCAGGCTATGGGGGGGGCTACAGCGGATTTTTGGGTGGCTGTAACCTCCCCATACCCCTGTCCCCGTGCTCTCCACAGAAAGAAGCTGGTGCAGCTCCTGGCCCTGAGCCCACAGTGGACAGCCCACCCTTGCCCCACACAGATCTGGGGGGCACATGCCCCCTATGCCTCCCTTGGGGGTGCATGCAGCAGCAGGAGTCACTGCCCTCCCTGCCCTCATGGCTCCATCCTGTGCCTTGCCCTGCCCTGGGTGGGCAGTGCCTACCTCTGCCCCACTCCCTGCCTCACCGTGGGGGTCTCAATCTGTCGTCGTGTCGTGTCTTTCCCCCCCCCCCAACTTACTGGCTGGATGCTGCACTCTGAGCTTCTGGGCTGCATTCCTGGCCGCGTACATGCTGTGGCTATGCACATGTACGCGGCATTTATTGGTGACTTTATTGACAATTGGCTTTTTTTGACCATTGTAGCCAATAATGTCAACTTTCCTTTTTATCAGTGCTGATCTGATATGGACTGATATATTGGTACACCTCTAGTTATTTCCTGTTTGTTTTTTTTTTGTTTTTTTTTAAAGAAACCTATACAGGTCAGGAAACCAAAAAATCTCTGTTAGCATAGGCCCTAAGCCTCCAATTCCAATGTGGTGGTATTCTTTGTGTAAGTATGTAATTATACCCCACAAAACTGCAGTGAGGGATGAATGTCAAGCTTTGCTGCAAAATCAGTGAGAAACTTAAGTTTGTCATTGTGGGTTTAATTCAAAACCCATGCTAATGGAAAGATTCCTGTTGACTTGAGTTTTTGCTCAAACATTAAAATGTTCAGTGACAAAGTCTGGAGTAGAGCTGCTACTTAAATCCCTAACAGTTGGACCTTTTTGGTTGCTAAACATTTGCCAAAGTGAATACAAAACCAGTGCAAAAACTTTCTCCAGACAAGTTAAATACTACCTTATGTCACTAGTTACAGTAGCAAAATAAAAGACTGGCAAATAAATTCCATGTGAAGAAGACTTGAATCTTCCCTGTTTAAAACACAGTCACCTTAATCTTCAGCTTTCTTTAAGTGGGGGAGGCTTTTTTTTCCCCCTGTTTTCTTTGCAGCATATGATTTGTTCCAATAGCAGCCTAGAGTTTTAGCCCCCATAATTGTGAGGATAGAGAGATTCTCCTGTTTAATTATCAAACTGCCATCCTGTGGCACTAGATGTTTTTCCATGAACAAGAAAATTACTGTTTAACTTTGAGGTTGTTTCCCTTCTGTGCATACACAGTCTTCATGGTTGATAATATGGGTGTTTCTGAATGATCAGTGAAGGGGTTGGTTACTGTATGATTAACTTGTCTTCACGTGTTGAATGTCAGCTTGCAAATTACTGATTCTACTGGGCAGGGTCTGTGTGGCCAGACAGTGATAACCTGAATTCACTACTTGACTGCAGTAGGAGTTGTTGCCTGTCTGCCTGCCCTAATTGAACATGGAATTAAATGCAATTACTGTTTAAGACAAGTAAGCAGAAAGGGAGGTAATTAGCAATGATGTTGCACAAAACTTTAGTAATTAACATCTAGGTGACAGTCATCTTCAAGTACAGCATTAATATCATTAAAATGTAACCAGATCAGAATCTAGGTAGAGTTAAAACAGAAAACATACTTTATTCTGTTCATTAGAAGCATGTTGCAAAGTAGTTCCTTGAGCCTTACTGCAGCTTGAGGACAACTTTTTTACATAGGTAGCAATCTCTCTGATTAATCAGCCCTGAGTATCAGCAGTTGCACAGCAGAACTTAATTTACAGCAAAGTAATATCACTTTAAGAACTATAATAATTTACACAATTAATATCAATTATAGTAAATTCCATGGGAGTTACTACATTTAGGAAACTTCAGTATATACAACAAATAACATATATAAAAGAGAAACCTTGACTAGGTTTTGTGATTTGAGATCTCCCTTTAGGGGGGGGGCTTTAGAGACCTAACATTGCATGCATTAGCTAATATCACAAATGATGTTTTTGTTTCTTCACTAATGCCATTTGCACAGTGCCTTTAACACTTGAAGACCTTTGTAACTAAAAGATTGTATATCTATGATAATAAATTACACAAGAAATGGCTGTCAATTGAAATTATTTTGACTCTTATTGTGTGTTCTAGAATATGTGAGCAGTCAAAGAGAAAGAATGGCCAGAGTATTAGTTGTTTAAAAAAAGGGGAAAAAAGAAGTGAACAAACGAATGTGAAGCCATTTCTTGTCCATAACAACATGATGATGATGATAATGATCCTTTTCTCAGTCTTCTTGTCTTTGCTTATGAAGAGCAGCATGAGCTGGAGAGATTTCTCTGAATCTTTTACCATAAGCACCCTAGAATATGTGAGCATAAAAGAAGACTGGAAAAGTAACGGTTAATGGCATGCAGTCCCTTGTCTCCCTTTCCTCTTAACTTTTTCTCACCATCTGCTTGTTTTTGTTTTTGTTTATGCATCTGTCATCCCCCTCTGGGTTCTGGGTTAATAAGTTAGGTGGTGAAATCAATCCCTTTTAGTTGTGAAAAGTGAAGGAGTTTCCTTTGCGCTGAAAGGGGCTTGAATTGTATGTGCTGCTCACAGCTATCCAGAGCATTTGTAGAAGACACCTACCTACTGCTTGTTTTTTTTTTCTTATTGCTAATTGAGAACAATGAAGTTAATTTTTAGAGTCTTAAAATTAATGGCAGCCTAATGTGTGCATAGTGAACAAGCGTCTCTTAAATGGATCAACATTAAACATTGCATCTTCCAATCTGTTGCCTTATTAGGTATAGAAATGTGAAGGGTTGAGCTTTTCTCCCCCTTAATTTGTAATTAAAATCATCCATGACAGCTAATTTATATTAGTGATGTTCCACTGCAAGCTGGTCAAAATCACAGTAGGGAAGGGACCCTGTAGAGTGATCAGTCCTCTCCTCATCCTGCAGCTTGGCTGGATCAATCTTGCTTTGCAAAGTCTCCTGGCAGTTAGAATAGGTAGGCTGGAGTTAAATTTCATAGTAGTTGAATAACTCGACCTGCCAAAGATGAAATTCTCTGTTGCTAAGTCCTGCCCTCTGTAGGGCATGGAGCATCACTAACAATCCAGTAGCAGCACATGTTTTCTTACTAATAAATGCAATGCAAGCCCCTTTGTTAAAACTGATCCTGTTCTTTCTATCTGTTAGTCTTAGAAATGCTGCCACTTTACTTTCAAAGTATCATTTAATTTTTGGTTTGCTGGGGTGGTGGGTGTCTGTCTGTCTGTGTTGTTTTGGGGCACCAAACTTGTCTCTCTTTGGTTATGTTCCTTCGTGAAACATTAAGGTTTCCATACAGTTTACTCTAATTTGGCTTGATTGCCCAAGGTGGTGTGATGGATTGGATTGGCCCAGAAAATAAAAGTTTTTTTCCTTATTAATCTTTTTAAAAGTAAACTGATGGTTACCTTAAAATCTTTCTTGGTTTTGGGGGTGGGTGTGGGGGTTCTTTTTTAATTTTTCCCCAGAACACTCTGTAAATTGCAGCTAAATATTTGCAGTCAGGCAGCTGAGCTGCATGTGGCATGTCAGCCTTGCAAAATTCTCCTTGCCCAGGAAAAGTGAATTTCTGGATAGGCAAGTAAATACCCTCGAGGAATTTCTCAATACTGGAAATCATTGTGGGAAGAGGGAAACGTTTGTGCAACTTCACAGTACGAGGCTGAGGTATGTACATGCAGTTTACATATTCAGTGCCACATTCTGCCTTCAGATGTGAGCAGCGGGCCCTCAGTGGATCAGTGGGAGACTCCCTCTCCTCCCCTTGTTCCTCTGAGGGTAGAATATGGCCCTTATTAGTGCTGACCAGTTCCTTCATATCCCTTTCTTCATTGTATCAGCTGCAGGGGTGGAAATTTTTGGCACAGAATTGCTGGCTCTGTCATGTTAATGTAATGCAAGAAGGTGCAATCTGAACATCCTCCTTTTGAATTGTTGAAACATAAGATCTGTTTCCAGGAATTTGGGCCTGTGGGCTTGTCACTGTACGTGACAAACTAAATTACTTCCTATTTGAATGGCTGAAAAGCTAGAAAATACAGGGCGATTGAGCTTTTTCATGTAGTGCCTCAGCAGAACTGGTGACATTGAACTAATTTGGTATAACTTGACCTAAGCGCACTGCTGCCGGATGGCCATCTATTCAAGTGCCTAAAATTCTAATGAAAAGCAAATGCATGGTTTGCCAAACGCATATAGTTAAAGGTATCCTGCCTTTATGGGAGAGAACTTGACTTGTCTGGTAATGACAGTAAGTAGCCACAACTTGCATGTTTTATTACTGGCTCTGTTACTGATGTGCTGACCTTACGTGCTGAAAGGTGAAATAAGACCAAGGTTGCGAGTTAGTAAAATGAATATGACACCACTTGCACTCGTCAGGGGGACGTTATGTACAATTTGAGTGTAATAGGCCCAGTTATAGTCTGCACTTCTATCATGTATTGAGGCAGATAAGTGTGTAACAAACTTTTTGCAGGTAACATTCTTCTGTTGCTGCATAGATCAGGATATTTTTGAGAGACAGAATCCGTACTGATAGTGACATTCCATTTAAAAAGGCAGTGCCAGTTAGTTACACCTGTAATCCCTTGTTGGTATAACAAATAGACAATGCTTCAGTTTTACTGTATGTAAAAGAATATCTGTATATCTCCCCTTCATTTGTTATTTTTCCAAAGTTCATGAAACAATGTTTGTAGCATGAAGGGTCTCTCTCTGCCCTATTGACACAAGTGAGGCCCTGGAGTACCATGTCCAGTTTTGGGCCCCTCACTTCAAGAAAGTTGGGGACAGATTAGAAAGAGCCCAGCAGAATGTAACACAAACAGAGACATGAGAAGCATGAGTTTTGAGGAAAGGATGAAAGAACTAGGATACAAATACATGAAAGGTGATGGATGGATGTAGAGATTATACTATTCTCTGTAGGGGACAGGCCTAGAAGCTATACTCTCAAACTGCAGCAGAGAACATCTAAGTTGGAGATGAGGAGGGATTTTCTGACTATGAAGGTGGTTAAATGCTGAAACAGGCTATCTAGAGAAGTTGTGGAATCTCCATCCCTGGAAATGTTTAAGAGCAGGTTAAATAATTATTTGGCTTGGATGGTTTAGTTAGGAATGACCCTGTCCTGAGCAGGGGACTGGACTGCATGAACCTAAGGCCTACTTTCCTATGAACTCATGTTACCAAGGAATGTTTTTCATTCTTGGTAACATAGCTTATACTTATGAAAACCCAAAAATTTCCACCTCTTTTCAGAATATGCCCCATCAGCACTTTGTTCTTGTGTTGCAGTTTCCAGACATTCCCCCCCAACCCAGAGCTTTGCTGAGCCACTCTGCTTACCTCCTGTTTCTTTCCTTGTGTGATCCTTAGTCTCTGTTCTTTCATCTTTTTGTTCTGTTTTATTTTCTCTTTTCTTTCTTTGACCCTTCAAGCTGTCTCCTGGTTCCTCGTTCCCTGCATGCCACTAACTAGTTTCATTAGATATTAATTGATTTGTGAATTCAGGCTGAATTGCATCATCAGCAGATGGCGGATCCAGACCTGTTGGAGGAATCTTCTTCGCTCCTGGATCCGAGTGAGGTGGGAAGAGGAGCCGCCTTACGACTTGGGTAATGAGAATTTTTATGCCTTCTGTTTTCTGTTACTTGGCTTAATTATTTACTCCCATTTTTTGTGGAAGCCACAGTGCTTAGCCCAATCCTAAATTATCTTTCTACATGGGGTTGTGAGGAGGGGTCTAAGCCTATAAAAGCTGGTCTAAAATCAGCTAGCATTGGTCTTCATTCTTTCCTTGCCCTACGTGAGCTTATTTTCCAACCCCTACTAATCCAGGGAATAAGTATCTGAAGGAGGGAATTACAACTCTGCTGTCTTGTGGATCGGCACAGAAGGCTGTAACTAATCTGTTCCCTAAGCAGCTGGGGCTTAATTTTCAAGCGTGGTGAGCATTTGCAGCTTCCACTGAAGTCGGTTGGAACATTGGGTATAGCATATATTTGAAAAAATCTACTTATTTTTTAAATATCCTTTTTTGTAAACAGATTTCAAATCATCCTTGTCACACACATGCAGAAGCCATTGTTGTTTCTGTGATGCCCTTTTATTTTGACCTGTGGGCTTTAACTGTTGGCTGTCTTGAAAGCAAATGTCCATGGTCTTCTGTGGGTCAGCTTTGAGAGCAGTGTAGCCTGCTATCGCCTTCCTTGCTCTGTGAAATCTTTGGCATCAAAGTTAACCAGAGTTGTGCGAGACTGACAGTAACAGGCATGGAAACTGTGTGACTAAGTGAAACGCATCAATTCAAGCTGTCCATTGCTTTCTTAGTTGTTAATTTTGCAGATAGTATAGGATTTGTTCTCATAAAGAGGGTGGGGGGTAGTCCTAGCTTTTGGTATTATACAGCTGTTGCCTCTGCTTTTTTTGTGTGTGTTTGCTTGTAAAATTTTCTACTTTGACTAAAGAGCGAATTTAAAACAACTCAGCTGGATTTTGTAGTTTAAACCTGGATTTAGTTGCTTTTGTGCTGCTAACTAATGAGGCTTCAGTCTTGTGTGTCTAAATTTAACTTTTTAGATGCAATGCCTCAGTTTTTTTTCCTCTCCCCTTCCACAGATTTGTGGCTGGTGTGATCAACCGTGAGAGAATCCCTACATTTGAGCGCATGTTGTGGCGAGTGTGTCGAGGGAACGTATTTCTGCGTCAGGCAGAAATTGAAAACCCCCTGGAGGATCCTGTAACGGTAAAAGAAACTGATATCTGTGGGGACAAAATACAGTGTAAGATCGCAAGTACCTGTCAGAATTTGTGTGACTAAGGTCCCAAATACCTGTGTGCATGAACAAAGGAACTTTACCCACAACCTTGGGGCTGAATCCTACTGTGAGCTCCATCAGGGTGAGACCTTACATGCCACCTACCTGCATAGGATTCATTGCAGACTTAAGGCCTTGAATTATAAATGTTTGTGCTTGAGTAGCAGGTCCTCTCTCCTGTGACTCACATTCTTGTTTCTGTTCTTTGCTTTGTTTGTTTGTTTGTTTTTATTCAGTGCCCATCACTGATACAGCATAGTATTACACACTTTACTAAAAACAAACATCCTCCCCAAAAAAACCAACAAAAAACCCAACAGCAACAAAAAACAAACTTCTAGGCATATGCTACTGCTGTTAAATTATTTCTTGTATTGATTCTTCATTTTATCCTCTCTTCTTCTCCCCACAGCCCCTCATCCTAGACTTGTTTTACAAGTCGTGTTACAAGGTCAGGGTCTACAGTTGTAACCTCTCCATGGGAGGGAATCCGTCTCTGTTTTATAAAGTGTCATGACCATCTATGATGATGACAAAATACAAGTGGTACCCAGTGGAGACTGGGCAGTTCCTGCATTATTTCAGCACTAGTGGGAAAAAAAGTTGAGGCCTCAGGATGTTATAAAGGGGTTAACTAAATGTGAGCTTCTAGGTCCATTACAGTAGGTCTGAGATCTGTTGGATTTCCTTATTTTAATGGTGATTGTTCCAGGAGAGGCACTAACTTTATTTCCTCTTTGTCAATCATTTAAGAAAATGAATAGTATCAATGTTGAAAGCTATGCAGCTTAAGCTCCTAGCTGATGTATAATAAAAAGAACACTATGGGTTGCACGGGAACAAAGACTGAAATATTATTCAACTCTTTTTCCATGCGAGTTTGCTTTCTTGCAGCATTCACTGCTGGTAGCTGAACTGAGTCACACTAGCTGTCTAGCAGAGAGGAATTGCAGCCCTATTGTACAACACTTCCTTAACTTGAGGTTACACCTAATGTAATTATTTTCTGAAACATTACATGAAGTTTCCTCAGTAAGGTAGAATAACATTTTATCAACAAATGCAGGAAGGGGGATTTGGATATCTAAACTAAAACAGCTGCAGAAAGAATGTGCTCCTGGAATTCTCTGGAGATGCCTGGTTTTTGGACTCTGTGTTCCTCTAAATACACTGCACATGTTGCCTTACTTCCATTCATTCTTTCACTTGCTGTTCAACTCTAGAGCAGGGTTGGCTGAAAGATGCACCTCTTTGCATCCATACGTTAAAGAAAAGACTTCTGATTTCCCCATAGTACTAAAGCCCTTAGCTACAATAAACTCAAAGGCTTCTAGACTTAGGTTAAAACAAAACTGTTTTCTTAGCAGTGTTAAGGCATGTTGTTGACTCTGTGCAGATGCAACTTCCTTACATACAGAAGGGAAAAATGACAGGCTGTTCCATAATTTGCTATAATCACTAGTTCCTGTATAACACTGAGATTTTGCACTGTATCTGATTTTTGTTTTCTGTTCTAGGGAGATTATGTGCACAAGTCTGTGTTTATCATCTTTTTCCAAGGTGACCAGCTGAAGAACAGAGTCAAGAAAATTTGTGAAGGGTAAGAATGCCTTGGATATTTTTATTGCTGGATTTTCATTTGTGCTCATTACCTTAAAATAATTTGCATACTTGCAATGCATATTGAAATACAAATTACTTCTGAGAGAGAGATAATATTGTTAAAACTCTCATTAAACCTGAATTAGTCAGAAAACCCATGTGATACAATGTGCATCAGAATGAAGTTCTCTAGCTGACTCTTTTTTGACTTTGTAAATCTGTAATGAATGGTACATGTATGTTACTGAAGTATATTGGACAATCAAAACTGCCCACTGCCTCCAGTTTTTAAATCTTAAAGTGGATGAACTGCTCTTGTTGTTGTAGGGGTATGCAGTCAAGCTCTTCAATGCAACTTCCTTATGAATAGCAGTAAAACTGGTTTTTTGGCTTGCAGCATGTACAGACATTCACTCTCCTAGGAGAAACTCTCTTGGGAGCTCTTTAACGCTGGTTATTTCTAGATTAGTTTTATCCTGGAGCAGTCACTTTTTTACTGTGGGAGAAAATTCTTGAACATCTGTATTCTTTTGGTTTCTTCTGGGAGAGCAGTGACCCAAGGCCTTATTTAGACTTAGACTTTCATACCTGTGAAAGATATCATCTGGGGCTTAACTTGAATAAGAAAGCCAGAGCATTCACTTAACAGTTCTGCTTTGAGCAAATTTGTGTAGTAGCCATCTGATACAAAGAACAGCTCTGCTCTTTGATGAAAACCTTAAACTTTACTGTACATGCTCTTTACTCAACACTACTTGTGGCTGGTGAACTAATTATCTTACTACTGGAAGTGGTTTGCATGTTTTACAGGTTCCGTGCCTCCCTTTATCCCTGCCCAGAAACACCACAGGAAAGGAAGGAAATGGCTTCTGGAGTCAACACTAGGATTGAGGATCTGCAGATGGTATAACAGCACAGTGAATGGACTCAATGTCACATTGTCATAGTAGAATCCTGGGCTGCTTAGATGGATCTGAGTGTAGGATAGTATTTGCTTGCAAATTGTTGGGCATATTAAAAGTAGTCAGGCGTAGCATCTACTATGGGGCTACCAGTTTTTCAGAAGAGAACAGCTTTGTCTGCTCAGTTCCAGTCATCAGCCCAGGTAGGGTAGTAAAGTGGATTTCATTCCACAAGAGTAAACCCCCTGTGGGTAAATACTGCCATGGGTATTAATATTCATAGAAGCAAGTGCAGAGTTAATATGGAGGGGTGGATGGCAATGGAGTATATCTCCAAAGCCAGTAGCATGAATGAGTGAAGCTTGCTCCTCCAGGATCCTTGCAGGTGAAAATAGTCCAGTCTGGACTATTCCAGTCCAGTCTGTCTTTCCCAAGTTAGTGAAAATACCAACACTGTTTTAAAGCTGGCAGATTTCCTGCCTGTCTTTGTGCTTGTATGCCATGGTGCCAAGGAGAGCTTCTGCTTTTGAAAAAAAATTCCTTTAGTGCAACAGCTCTGGGTGTCAGTGAAAGCAATAAATATAATAAGTTACTGGGCAGGAGCTGAATCAGCAACATGTGAAGCTGCATGGTGCTGGCTCTGTCACATCTGATGCTTGCAGCTGAATTCACAGGAAGGGCAGTAAGTTGCTTTTGTGAGGAAACTGACTAAGGGTTTTGATGGAGAGAGAGTTGTTGTTTTTTTTCCCAGGGTGGGTGTTGGATGCGAATGCTAAAGAAAAGAGGTTAAAACTGGGCTGCTGCTTAGCCAGTGTAAAGGTCAGCTCCCCCAGTTTGAAGCTGCAGGGAACAGCTGTGTAGTAGCTGTCATAAAGTGGATAAGAATGCAGGATACATATGTTAACTTTCCCCATAGCATCATTTCTGCAAATTCTATATATCTTAGTCTTTACAGTCAGTTACAATGACATGGCTTGAGCTCGATACATGTTCCAGTGATATTGCACATGCCAGAGAACATGTTTTTTTTTTCCTGAACTTGTATCATGGCAGTTTTGAGCACCAAATGTGGATGAATTCTGAACCCTTTTAACACATGCTCCCTGTGTCTCCTTACCAAGATGGAGGTCCTGCATTTCATGGCTTGCACATGGTCATTCCTTGACTGCATCTTGGACAGTAAATGTCCATTAAGTTTCATGAAGCAAAAATTTCCCCTTGGGATTCTGAGAAACGCACATTTTGCCTTTTGAATTATCTGCTGAAGATTGGACAGAGGAAGGACAATAGACTAAATAACTGTTTCCTGAGCTGCTTTCCGGGAGTAGTTTGTGTGTGTGTGTGTGTGTGTGTGTGTGTGTGTGTGGGGACTTTAGCAAATGCTCCAACTTGTAACAATGGGGTGGGGGAAGGATCTGCCTCTAAGTAGGGTTTTCCCCCTATTTCCTTATCAGCAATGAGTTAGGTGCACTGTTACGCACTGTAAGTTTCAGCTACAACTGTGGGGTGTGCTACTGGGTACCACAATTCTCAGTTGAACATCTTGCTGCAATCTGTTCCACCCTTCCATGAAAGGTGCTGAACCAAACAGAGGATCATCGCCAGAGAGTTCTACAGGCAGCTGCTAAAAACATCCGCGTCTGGTTCATCAAAGTGCGAAAGATGAAGGCCATCTACCATACCCTGAACCTGTGCAACATTGACGTGACTCAGAAGTGTCTCATTGCTGAAGTCTGGTGCCCTGTTGCTGACCTCGATTCCATTCAGTTTGCTCTCAGAAGAGGCACGGTGAGCATCTCCCACATCAATTATGACAGCAGTGACTGTTACCTACTAGGCCAGTCCTAGCAAATCTGGATTAATTGGTTTGCCTGAAGAGCTGTATCTGGCTGGGTTTCTAAAATATGTTCCTTCACAGAGGGCACTCTTATTTAACCCAGCTACCAGATCAACTCAAGGATTGTTGCAGAGGTAGAGACTACAATAGTGGATTAAATTACTGATTCCTTGAAGGCTTCTTTTTATTGAAATCTCACCATAGTGTACATGACTTTATCATAAACAGTTGAATTTAGGCCTTATATGCAGGAAGAGGATATAATTATAGAATTTCCTGTGTTGGGAGTCCTTGGTACATCTCATTTAACCTGGCTCTTTTGAAGTCCTGCCACTTGGATATGCAGCACAGCTTTTCAAAAGGACTCACTTACTCCAAGGCACAAGCAAATGCTGTAGCTTTTCTCTCTCTCCCTTTCCTCCCCACTCAAATCTTCAGACATGCTTCGTAAGAAGAGACCTACCTGAATCGTGGCATAAGTGCATTGCTCAGCGGGTACTCTAATCTTGCTCTTTTTGCCATGTTCCTCCTTGCTTTCCTCCCCCCACTGCTGATTGGCAGAGGGGCCCTGGCAGCCCTGCTGCTTGTTGCTGATCAGCCAGGAGGCAAAAACCTTAGCATATTTAAAATGGCAGTTTTTGCCTCCTAGCTGATCTGTGGCAAGTGGTGGGGTTATTGGGGCCCCTGTGCCAATCCACAGGGTGGGGGGGGGGGGGGCTGCAAAAAGAACAAGATTACAGGAGCTGCAGTGTAGCATGCTTCTGCTGTGATTTAGCTGGGTCCCTATTCATAAGCTCTGATCCACTTAGGGAAGTGATGGTGTACGACTAACTTCCTCTGTTCTGAATCTTCCCCCTTTTTTGTCTTGAAGAAATGCAAGGCGACCCTGATATGCACGAAATGAACTCCAACCTACAAAGGCAACATGGGTGCAGGGTCTTTTAATTACCTTTTAATGATATTTGCTTGCCTCTTGTTCTGCAACTTCAGGATGTGGGCTACTACAGGTTTGCCTTAGCACTTTCTGTATGTTGTTTTGGCTGGATACTTTTCAACATGCTGCTTTTTAGCTGTCTTGGTGTTTCTGCTCTATGGCGCAGGCTCTCATGCCTGCAGTGATGCACAGTTCAACATGCCTGTACATTTACCCTTGAGGTGGTGCTCACCTGACCTTGTATTGTTTATGTTCTGTAGTTTGTTTCTAGTTTGTTCTTTCCTAAGTACTGCAACCTCCCCCTGTTTAGCAGCAAGCCTGCCTAAATAGCTGGCACTTTTGTGTGAGCTTTCTGACTGGTCTTCAGGATATGAGGTGACGTCTAGCTGTCTTGTTGTCGGAAGAATGCTTGCTTGCAATCCTTGCAGCAGAGGTGTGTCCATACCCAATGGTGACAGAAAGCCCCGTATGTTCTGGACTAATACAACTTGGTCATTTGAATACACAGTTTCTGGGAGAGGGAAGTGTGTTTTTATACCTAAAAAAAAATATTTCTGCATTTGCCATCCATATGTGAGAGGGCTTCCCACATCAGACGCTTAGCATGAGAAGAGCCTACATGGAGCAATCCTTCCCTGCCCTCATCCCTGCCAAGCTCCTAGTTTCATCATGAGGCAATAGGCAAGAGTAGCAGCAGGTGCAGACAGTGTATCCTGGAGGGCAAGACATTCTGGGAACAGTAGTTCTTGAGAGTGGCAATGAAGTTTCACCGCTGCTGTGAGGGGAGCTCGTTTCCAACTTTTGCTTCTGAAATCCATGTTGAAAGACAAAAAAGAATCTGATTTTGGCAGCAAAGAAATAGGGTCAATTCCCTCTCTTCCCCACAGTAGTGACCTCCACTGCTGCTCTACAAAACTGATTCCCATAATGTTTTGTACTCCATGCCACAGACTGCCTGTGCCAGTTTTCTCTTGCAGCTAGAAAGCACCCCCTTCCCATCCTTCTGGTGCCTTAAGGTGGCTTCCAGTTACCTACCTTGAATTATGTTACTGTCCCTACAATTAAGATCCAATTGCTTTATCCTCAGGAAGGTGGTAGACCAGGGGCAGGCAAAATACGGCTTGCAGGCTGCATCTGGTCTGCTAGGCAACTTTTCATCTGGCCTGCGGGCAGGTGCCTACCGGTTCACTGTATCCAGCCTGCCCATGGGCTGTCCCTGTTGTGCTCTCATGGGGCTGAAGCCCATTCGCTCCTGGGTGGGAATGCAGCAGGTACTACCCCCACTTGCCTACAGGATGGCCCTGACCCTGGCCCCACAGGTAGGGAAGCGGCAGTGGGCAGGGGAAGTGGTGTTGGAGGGTAGGGAGGATGGGAAGGCAACAGGTAGGCTAAGGGAAGTGGGGCCAGCGAGTGAGCAGGAAGGTAGGGAAGTGGCAGGGGAAGGGTTGGGGTGGGAGTGGTGGTGGTGGGCAGGAGTGCAGGGCCCATGTCGGGGAACCCAAGGCAAGGTGGCAGGGGTGCGGGGTCCACCTGGCTCTATCGCGTGGTGCTTGCAGGCACTTCCTGGGTTCTCTGCTCGAGCCATGCGCCTCTGGGGGAAGCCCCATGTGATGGAGTCAGCGGCCTGGCCCCACTCAATACGTGCATGGTGGGGAATTCCGTGATATAGAGCTGGGCTGGCTCTGCCCCTCTCCCTGCTGCCCTGGCTGAGCCCCATGATCTGCACCACCGGCTTCATTACACAGGGCTTCCCCTGGTACCATTGGGCTCAGGCATGTAGCCCTGCATGATGGACCCTGTGCCCCAGCCATGTGCAGTCCTGGGGCTTGCCAGGACCATATATATCTGGGGGGCTCAACCTGTTGCTGTCACTGGTGGCAGGGGCTGTGTGCAATGGGAGGGGGCATGTTTGTAGGGGGGACCTCCTTACATAACCCCCCACAAGCGCAACATTCCTCCCCTCCCCGCCCAATATACAAGAATAAGATTTCATCTTGAGCTATTATGCAGTCACCTCCGTGTGTGTGTGTGTGTGTGTGCGCGCGCGTGCGCGTGCACACATTTTTTTTAATAAAATCAAAATATCTACAACAACATGTTTGACTTTTTTTGGTGTATAATTTTTTTTGCTGGTTCCAAGATGGCAAACTCCCTTCCCAAAATGAGTAGTTTTGGGGGCAAGGGGAGGGATGTCCGGTGGCAAAGGTCAGGGGATTAGGGGATGGGGCAGCTGTCAAGGGGCTGGGCTACCCTTACAACCCTCTCCAGCTTGCCAAAACTCATTAAGTGATCCTCCAGCCAAAATAATTGCCTACCCTTGTGGTGGACTCTCGTATAGCTTTAGCGTTTTCCTGCACTGTGCAAACGAACCACAAAAATGCAAACTTACAGCCCCTTTCCAGAGGGGAGGGGAGCATTCCATTCTCATGCTACATTGCTCAAGGGAAGGAGGAGTCTCTCTAACTCCCATTTGTTTCCTTTAACAGGAACACAGTGGATCCACTGTCCCATCCATTCTGAATAGGATGCAGACCAACCAAACCCCTCCCACTTACAACAAAACCAACAAGTTCACTTCTGGATTTCAAAACATAGTAGATGCATATGGCATTGGAACTTACCGGGAGATAAATCCAGGTAAATGCACAACCTGCTCTGTTTGTTCTGCTGCCTTGTTTATAAACAACTTAGGATTCCTGACTTGGTGCTTTGGTCTCTACTGCTAGGCAAAGTCCTGTGTTGGACTGACCTAACTCTGCAAAAAGAGAGTGCGGGCTCCTGTTTCTCTGCAACTGAATTGTAAAATGCTCACTAACACTATTTAGTATGTAGAGATACAGTGGCTTTGTGAACTACTTGGAACATGGCTTGCAAGTGAGCGGTGTTATGAGTGGAAAATAATTATCCTAACCCAAAAGGACTGAGGTGAAATACGACACATGGATTTCTTTGCTTTTGAGGTCATTTCTGGGTGTTCATTGCATTTAGTGAACCAGTTTAGTTTAATCTTGTCAGATGTTTTAATACCAGTTTGAGGTAATTGTATCCAGTGGGAATATTTATTCCAGACAATCTTTTTTTTTTTTTTTTTTTTTTTCTTCATGTTTACTTAGATCAGGGGTGGCCAAAATGACTGATCTGGCCAGCAGTCAGATTCCATTTCTCTATATTCCTGGCTCCTTGCAGCAGTGACAGCCTGATCTGGAGCAGGGGCAGAGCCGTGATTCCCTGCTTGCATGACCCTGCCCAGAGCACACAGGCTACAAATCGTGGCTCTGCCCTGGCTCCAGAGCAAGCTGCCCCCATTGCAAGTTTTCAGCAGCTCCAGAGTAGCCCCCTTCTCTGGTCTGTTGCATGCACTGCTGCTCTGGCTGCAGTTGGTCTCTTTGGCAACCCCAACCTTGAGCTTTCCTGCACAGTTGCGTCTGGGGTCTCCATGGAGACTGGCCCCAGCCATGTGCAGGGGTGGCTGGGAAATGGAGTCCCCTGCTGACTGGATGCAGCCCACAGGCCAGATTTTGCTTGTCCCTGATCTAGATCAAGTGCAGTGGAAGACTATGATGTGATTTTGAGGGTTACTTTGTGCTGAATTCCTAGTACTTGCCCTCCTTCTAGCAAAACTTACTACTACTATAACTTTACTTACATTTTTCTATGCTCCCTGTGTAAGCTAGCTGGCTTTACCTGGCACTAGCTGTCTGCTGTATCTTTTGTAGGAAGGGTAAACAATAACAAGTTTGGCTTCTCTTTCTCTGTGAGCTTTATTGTTACAACATATGCCAAAGGTGCAGGTCAGGAAACTGTTATTTCTAAAATTTTCACACACTCTCCTCTGTCTTTTTAGCAAACCAGCCCTATAGCATCAGAATCTGATGTCAGCCAAAGTGTTGTGGGAGATGAACTTTATGCCATGGTGCTCAAACCTGGTTTAACAGTCTCATTTCCAGCAAAGAAACATTCCCTGGATGCTAAACCAATGGTAATAGATTACAAAGCAGGGAAAGCCTCCCTACCTGCTGTTCAGTAGATTTCCTGAAGAGGCAAAAGCTGAAATGCTGTGTGTGATCAACCTTATCAGAAAGCTTTTGTGTGCTATGACTTTTATACTTGCCTCAGTGTGTGATTTCAAGGTAAATTATTCTGATGTGCCTGGTCTGCATATAAGCTGATGGCCTTTACAGGAATTCTGGCCCACAAAACACAGGCTTAAGGCATGGGTGGGTGAAGCAGTGAAAAATATAATGAAAAATGTAGGACTTTGACATGGAGCATTAAGAGATACTTGGTTACTGCCTGCCAGCTAGGATTAGTTGGGGATTAAAGGGGGAAAAAAAATTAGAGGATCATAGAAAAGCAATGCTGGAGGGCACTTCATGAGGTCATCTTGTCTAGCCCCTTGCTTAAGGCAAGGTAATCTCTGAGCACTCGGCCAAATCCGATCAGTCTCAAGTTTCCTTACATACGTGGATGAACTCTACCTGTCTCAAGAAGTTTATGGGCTGACAAGAGGTAAGGCACTGCTGGACCTGGTACTGGCCAAAGGGGATGATCTAATTAACGACCTAAGAATTGAAGGGAAGCTGGATGACTGACCATGAGTTGATCACTTTCACTATCCATTGAAAAGCTGGCAAACCAGCCAGCAATGCAGTAGTCCTTGACTTCAGGAAAGCTGACTTTCATAAGCTCAGGAGGCTTGTTCTTGAGGCCCTGACAGGCTATGATATTACAGTCAGGGGAGTTCATGATAAGTGGTTGCTCCTTAAGGAAGCAATCCTAGAAGCACAAGGGGAGTCCATCCCAACCCATGGGATAGGTGGTAAAAGGGCTCAACAACCCCCTTGGCTCAACAGGGTACTCATGGACCTTTTATGTCTAAAAAGAGAAGCTTATAAAGGATGGAAGACAGGAAACAACACCAAGGAGGAACATTCTGCACTGGTCTGCACCTGTAGAGAGTGGACTAGGAAAGCCAAGGCTGCAACTGAACTTCAACTGGCTACATGAATCAAGGACAAGAAAAAGTCTTTCTTCAGATATGTGGGGAGTCGAAAGAAAAACAAAGGCAACTTTGGACCCCTGCAAAACCAGTTGGGGCAGCTGACTGCCAACTCCCAGGAAAAAGCCAATCTGCTTAATGATTACTTTGCACTTACAGGCTCAATAATGCTAGACTCACTAGCACCACAACTGAAAGAGACTTGGGGGTCATGATTGACCACAAGATGAACATGAGCTACCAATGCAATACCACAGCTGGCAAAGTGAACAAAACTCTGGCTTGCATCTACTGATGCATCTTGAGCAAGACCCAGGATGTCATCCTCCCACTGTACTCGGCCTTGGTGAGGCCACAGCTGGAGTACTGCATCCAATTCTGGGCTCCACAATTCAGGAAGGACGTGGAGAAGCTTGAAAGAGTCCAGAGGAGAGCCACGCACATGATCAGGGGGCAAGAGAACAGACCTTATGAAGAGATGCTGCAAGTTATGGGACTCTTCAGCCTGGAGAAGCGCAGGCTCAGGGGTGATTTGGTGGCAGCCTATAAGTACCTAAGGGGTGTGCATCAGGATCTGGGGGAACACCTGTTCACCAGAGTGCCCAAAGAGATGCCAAGGTCCCACGGTCACAAACTCCTCCAAGACCGTTTTAGGCTGGACATAAGGAAAAACTTTTTTACTGTCTGAGTCCCTGAGGCCTGGAACAGACTCCCCACAGAGGTGGTGCCTAGCACCTACTCTGGATACTTTAAAGAAATATTTGGATGCTTATCTTGCCGTGATCCTTTGACCCTAGCTAACTTCCTGCCCCTTGGGCAGGGGGCTGGACCTGATGATCTTACAAGGCCTGTTCCAGCCCTTATGTCTATGAAATCTGTGAAAATACACCATCCTAGCCAAGTGTCTGTCCAATCTGCTCTTGAAAACTTCCAAGGATGGAGACTCTACAATTTCTCTAGCTGGCCTCTTTCAGTGCTTGACCACCCTGCTAGTCAGAAAGTTCCTCCTAATCTCCTACCTAAACTTCCTCTGCTGAAGCTTGAGGTCATTGTTTCTAGTCCTGTCCCCTATGGTTATGGAAAAAAGCCAATCTCCATCCTCTGCAATTGCCCATCAGGTATTTGAAGACTTATCAAATCCTCCCCTTCAGTCTTCTGTTCTCCAGGCTAAATAACCTTAGTTCTTTCAACTTTTCCTCATGAGTCACGACTCCCAGGCCCCTAATAATTTCTGTTGCTCTCTGCTGCACTTCTCCCAAACTCTCCACATCCTTCTTGAAGCACAGGATCCAAAACTTGTGGATGTATTGGGGGAGTGGAATAAATTGGTGCTAAGAGTTAAATCTGAGGCTGGTCAGCATCACAAAGGATGTGCATGTTTCACTTGAAATTTAGTTTAAATGTTGCAGGAAGCTGACTTCCACACATGAGCAGAGGTGCTCTTTATTATTAGTCCCATGTCTCTAACGTAGTTCCCTTTCAGTATCTGCAGTGTAGATTTGGCCTGTTTAGAAATTTTGTATGATTTTAAGAATTGTACTGCTAATGGAATAACTAGAAATAGAGAGATGCTCAGCTATGTGTCCAGATTTTTACCATGTGCTGCTCTCTCTTCCTTACCTTCCAGCTCCGTATACAATTATCACTTTCCCCTTTCTGTTTGCTGTGATGTTTGGAGACTTTGGCCATGGAATCCTGATGACACTAATAGCTATGTGGATGGTGCTTAGGGAAAGTCGCATTTTGTCACAGAAGAATGACAATGAGGTAAAGGCTTGGGTCTAGCTCGGCTTTTAAAGGAAAGCTGAGAGACCTGATTGTATTTTCCCTGTAGTGTTGCTAATATTAGTTCTTTTGGGTTTTTTTTTCATTTTCAGACTTTTAAGAACATGAACAAACTGAGTAATAAACTAAAGCCTCTAGACCTCAAAATGAGTAATGTCCCTTCTCAGAATAGTGGGTTCCTTTTACTTTGCATTTTAAATGTTTGGACTAAGTTACTCAGAGAAAGAGCATGGTTTGGCGGTTAACCGATGAGGTCTTGTCTCCTGCAGTGCTGGTTGAGTCATGGGTGAAACCTGATTTGCAGGCTAGTTCCTGGTTTGCATCTACCTCCCTACAATTTGATTGTCTTCTTGGGGCCTGGACAGGGTGACAAGTCAGGATTCAGATGCTTTTTAGAGTTTGAACAAAACTGGCAGCGTGTTGCCACAGCATCTGCTTAGCTCCACTCCTGAGCAAATATTTCTCAGCTGATGTTCACTTCAAAATATGGATGTCAAAAGGTTTTTCCTCCTCCTCCTGCAGGCTAGAAGATGTCATAGATTAGTATTCTTCATGGGACTGACTAGCTGGCCAGCCTCTGTGTTCCAGCTGTTACCCCCCTTGCAGTTGTAATCACTGCATTCTTAACCCATGCCATGGAAACGCGGCTTGGTGGTTTTTCTAGAATTGGCTGGTTTCAGACTCTGCTACTTTGGATAGACTAATTAATGTTTTGTTAGTACCCACGGACAACTACTTTTTTTAAACAAACAGATGTTCAGCATGATTTTTAGTGGTCGCTACATCATTCTGCTAATGGGAATGTTCTCCACTTACACTGGTCTCATCTACAACGACTGCTTCTCCAAAGCACTTAACATGTTTGGCTCATCATGGAGCGTCCGGCCAATGTTTACCAATGCCAATTGGACGTAAGTAATTGGATGTTTGAAAAATAAGTGGAGGGCCAAGCTTTGTATACTAAAATCCATTTGTCCAGGGCTTGTAAGAGAATAGTAGTGTAGTGAGGAGCACACTGTTTTTTGCTGTGTGTTTTTTACATAAACTACAGAGCTTAAGATGGAAAGCAGCTTAAACTAGGAACCAGTTGGCTGTTCTTCACCTTGCTTCTCCATCATTTCCTTACATGCATCATTAAAAATGTATGGAAGGATGGCAATTTCTGGTAGTGCATTTCACAAGCATGCTAATTTCTAGCAGTCTCCCTCTGTGCCTTGTCAAAACACATTTGAATTAGTGAGGCTTCACCTGGGACTGGAGCAGCATGACACACACATACTGATTTCCATTGATAGATTCCCCAAGTACATAGTGGGGTGGGCGCCAATGAGGGAAGGGGACAGTATAGTTAACTGAACCAAGTCACACTTCCCTTCTGTTTGCAGGGAATGTGCCAGGTTATCCTTGTGTATTTCTTTTTAAGAACTGCTTAAAAAGGAATTGAGCTTGATTTTTGTATATTGGTATCCAAACAGAGATGAGCTACTTCACCGTGCCCCTGTCCTGCAGCTGGATCCTGCAGTTCCTGGGGTCTTTGGTGGGCCATATCCCTTTGGCATTGACCCAGTAAGAGATCTTTCTAATATTGTCTTCAGAATATATGCTCTTTGTATGTATGTGACAAGTATCTGTTTGGTACCTTGTTAAACCATAAAGGGCTCTGTTTTTATGTAGCAAACTCAGTATAGTAACATTTAGAAATGTACCGTACTCCATTTAAGTGCCTAGGTTTAGAACTGAAAAGAAGAGCTATATACTTTCCCTAAGTTAGGTACTTATCCAAATACAATGTAAACAGTGTTCTGTGTGTGTATAGTAGCATTAGTACTGTGGTATTTGCAGTCCTGAAACTCACTAGTTCTTATTTTAAAGAATATTAATGCTGCATTTACTTACATACCATACTCATCTTTTATCCAAAAATGAGCCCCCCAAAATTGGGGTACATGTCTTAAATGGGAAAACTGATTTTTCTGCCAAGAACAGAAGCATGGAGATGCATTAAGATGCTGCTTTTCCTTCTCTTCCCTCCAGCAGCTGCATGGAGGAAGGGGCAGATCCAGGCGTGGTGGGGAGCAGTGGTGCAGTCACTCTGCTTCGATTCTTTCTCCACTCAACACTTTAAAACCAGCAGCATAGCAGCAGCAGTGACATTTTTATTCAGGCAGTGTCGGGGTCTATGGATGACATAGCTTATCACAGTCTACCCGACTCCCATGAATTGTTTTTTGCTGCTCATTGTTAAAAACCATCTCTCCTGTTAATGGTCTTGGATGTTCCACTAATCAAGCTATCTTTTCTTTGGCAGTCTTGCTGTCTGTTAACTACCTCCGGTCTTTTCTCCTATTTCAGTCCTACAGACTGTTTTTTAGCTCTTCTTAAAATCTACCACCACTTATGGAGCCCACTTTAGCAGCAGCTAGTTTCAGCTTTTGGCTGAACAGTTAAGAGCTGCTGACACTAACTATAAAAGAGTTAACACTGTAGCTTTGGCCTGAGCAGGAAGGGGAGGGTAGGTGAGCTGAAGATTAGGCTCTGTCCTTGTTCAGTGCAGCCATTAATGTAGAACAGTCTTTTTTGGGAAGATGAAATGAAGGGAAAAAATGGTGCGTCTTAGGGGCATGCAGTATGCGAGGAAAATATGGTGGTTCATTTGGAGCTGCTATTATGAGCCATGAAAACAAGGACAGCTTGTCATGCTGTAAGTTCTGTGGTATTAACAGTCCCCACACCAACTAGCTCCCATTCTTAATCTTTAAATAGTTTGTTTCAGGTTGCTTTTACAAGCCTTGAAAATGAGAGGAAGGAAAACATCTCTTTGACAGCCGTTTCCTATTTGCTGTTTCTGGGACAATTAAGAGTTCATTTAGTTACTAGTTAAAACTATTAGGGCTCATGAAACTAATAAAATCTGCAGTACAAGTATTACCCCACTGCAGAGTTTGGTTTTTTTCATGTGCAGCAACACACATGTAGATGCTGCCCTGGCTGGCTGGGGCACAGGGTACTTCAGCACAGGGCTAGCCAGCAGGCAGCCCCCACACTGAAGCACCCTTGTGCCCCAGCCAGTTTCTCCACAGCACATGGAGCCTGGTTGGAGCAGCCCTGGCTAGCAGGCTTGCTCTTGAGTCCCCTGCCAGACTGAGCTTTTCCGATTTGCCTCCACGTACTGCTCATGAATAAACTCTGGAGCAGTAAGCATTAATCACACGTGTATATGTGCCCTGTGTGTGTTTAGTGTGTCTTGTTACTTTTATCTGTTCCCTAAGTCCGTTAGTGCTTGATAGCTTTTGCTGTTTTAATATAAACAAATGCTAATTCAGTTCACCTCTGACTGTCTCTTTCACATGGTAATTCTGACTGAACTGATGTTTGTGACCAGATTTGGAATATCGCCAGCAACAAACTGACCTTCCTCAACTCCTTTAAGATGAAGATGTCTGTGATTCTCGGCGTTATCCACATGCTTTTTGGTGTCACGCTCAGCCTTCTCAACCACATGTGAGTGTGCTGTATCGTCTTTTCACTAAGAGAAGTGGAGACTTCCTCTTTTTGTAGAAGACTTAAGAGTAGACTCTCACTTGGATAGGCGCTCACATCTGAGGTTTTATGTCTTTTAAAGCTTGCCCCATGGCACATGCTCTTAAGGTGCAGGGAATTGCAATAAGGTATTTCAGCACACTACAAATAGCTAACCGTTTATTTCTATTCCACTGAATGTATTTGCCTGTCAATTGTTTCTCGCAAATATTTTATTTATTTATTTAAAGATTTAACTATAAAAATGCAGCACTTTTTTTTTTTTTTTTTTTTTTAAGGCTTCCTCCTTTAAAAGCTAGCCTTACTCTTAGTCTGCATTGTGCCTCTTTAATATCAATAGAACTTAAGGGTGTCTTAACATACTCACAGATGCAATTCTTTTTCTTCATAGTTACTTCAGGAAGCCACTGAATATCTACCTGGGGTTTATTCCTGAGATAATTTTCATGTTGTCTTTGTTCGGCTACCTCGTTATCCTCATTTTCTACAAGTGGACTGCCTATGATGCTCATACCTCAAAGGATGCACCAAGTCTTCTAATCCATTTCATCAACATGTTTCTCTTCTCCTATGCTGATCCTAGTAATAAGATGCTTTATAAAGGGCAGGTATGTGGCAGTTCTGAGCTGATACAAAGCAGTTAGTGTCTCCAGTGTTGAAGCCTTCCACTCAAATGTTGGACATAAATCCAACTTGCTGGAATGTTTCAGGTTGAGGCATTCTAAGGTGCTGGAGATACTTTTTGCATGAGGATCCTTTTCATTCCTGAGTTAGCAATGCAGCAAGTGAAAACCAGAATATGGCATAATTCTTCTGAGCAGGGTACCTTTTAAAACCTGACTCATTTAGAAAGGCCTGAGCTTTCATAGGCCACAGCCTACTTTGTTAGATGCTTTTGAATGTAGAGGTGTACCAATACATCAGTCCAGTATCGGATCGGCATCAATATTATAAAGAAAATTGTCTGTATCAGAAGGTGGCCTGATGTGGCCAATAAATGGCCAGTAAATGTGTGTAGCCCAGTGCAGCACGTAGGCAATGAGGAGCACAGCCAGGTAGCTTGGAGAGCTGCATGCAGCTGGTAAGCCTGTGGTGGACAGGGAGGTGGGAGGTAGTGGGGCTGGGGAAAGTGCTGTCTAGCCAGGGTGGGGTGGGCGCAGGACAGAGCCGTGGCTCATCCAGGGAGCTCAGGGGGTAGGGGGGCAGCTCCTGCTGCTGTGCACACCCCAGGAGGGTGTGGGGGGGACATGTGCCACCCGTATCTGCACAGGGTGGGATGGGCTGCAGCTGCAGGCTGGGGTTGGGGCTGCGTTGGGCTCTTGCTGGTGGTGGGGGCTGGGCTGGGCTCTGCTGTGCTGTGTTCAGAGTGGCTGGTGGTGCTGGGAGGGCAGCCTGGGGGGGGCCCACGGTGAATTTTAGGGTTGTTGGAGCCCCTTCCCCTGTAGCCCCTCCCCCAGCAACTGTTGCTGCCTGCTCCAAGCACAGCCTGGCCTGGTCCAGCCCAGCCCAGCCCAGCCACACTGCCGGGAAGAGCCCCGTGCAGCCCAGCCCCAGTCCACAGCAGCAGCTGCCCTGCCCTGTGCAGATCCAGGGCCTACACACCCCCCACATGCCCACCCAGGGTATGCACAGCAACAGAAAACCGCCACCCCACACCCCCCAGACGAGCTGAGGCTTCATCCCGCACCCTGCCCCACTCCCTCCCTCACTGTGGGGTCCTTGATCTGCTCCACCATGCACCTTCTCTTCCCCCTCCTTCCATCACAACAGACTTATGAGCTGCACACAGCTCTCCATGCTGTATCGGAAATTGGATTGCTATCGGCCAATATGCCTCCTTAAAAATCGACTATCATTATCAGCCCCAAAAATCTCTATTGGGGCATGCCTGTTTGAATGAATTCAGCTTTAAGGTGCCACCCTGTCCTGCTCTGCCTGACTTCAGACTAATGCAGCTAACTTCCTCTCTACTTGTAATTGTCCTAAAAAGGGGGAACCATAACTTCAGGAGGAATTTAAATCTGAATGTCATTATCACTTGCCCCCAAACAATCTGGGTTCTCTGTTAACCAGAAGGCAGCAGAAAATCTTTGTGTGTGCCAATAGCATTGTGCCTCTAACACAGGTAAGACACTTATTCAGGATAAATGAGTGAGAGAGTGCCATCTGCCCAACTGCTGTTCCCTGTAAAACCACTTACATTTTTCCTAGAGGTCTCCACTCCACTACAAGTGGTGACCTTACATCTCCCCCCCGATTGCATTCAGGTCGGATGAGAAACAAGCCTGGGCATAATGCAGCTGTAGGCAAACAGAAAGCACAGGCCAGTCTGCTGTTGTGGGAAACAGTAGGTGGGTATAACTGATGCAGATATTGTTAGGGTGTAGATAACTCCAGAAATGTTTGTACTGTGGAGCTAGTAGTTTTTAAATGAGACTTGTATCAGACTTGTATAAGAAAATAATTGGCTGGAACATAGCATTGAGTTGCAGGTTAAATTATCTGAGACCTTCTTCCACAGCAAGGACTTCAGAGCTTCCTGGTGGTGATCGCATTTCTTTGTGTGCCCTGGATGCTGGTAGTTAAACCCCTCGTCCTTCGCCGTCAGTACTTATGGAGAAAGCATTTGGTGGGTGACTCTTTTATGTGTTTGTTTTTGTTTTAAGATTATTGGTTCTAAAGATGTAAGCTCCTTCCTGATCTTAGAAACATAGGTTCATGCTCTGACCTGTACACATGTGCATAAAGACAAGTGGTCAGTAAAACGTACAAGCTGTTGCCTGTCTCTGATTTAAATCTTGCATTGAATCTACTTTAGAAAATATAAATACTGATTGTGTGCTAAAAAAAATACACCTTTCTGGGGCTCTTGGCCTGTGCAGGAGTACAGAATCCCTTGATTCTGTGCCTTTCCTGGGGTGCCAGAGTGCAGAAGCAGAGATGTAGCAAGTTGCCCAGCAGTATTGAGCAGCCTAACTAAAACTATGTGGATATGAAAATAAACTAATCTTTGCTTGTGAATGCAAGCCCTTCATTTAGAAGATCTTTTGTTTCATTTCTGGTTATATAACTGTACTAAAATAGTTCATATAAAAAGTCTGGAACCTGACACACTTGTACTGAGAGCGCTTGAAAATTCCCTTTGCATGTGTGGCAGACATCTGTTAGGATATTAAACCCATCGAAGTATGATACAGTTAAAGACACTCCCTCTCCCTTCTCTGACCATCTTTCATCCTCCCATGTCCCCTCCATTCGTCTCCCTTTTTCTCTTTTGTTTTTCTTCCTCCTCCCTCTTTTTTCTTCCATTCACTATCAGGAAGGGCAATCCGTGGAGGGCCAAGTCAGCACAGTCCAGAACGAGCAGGCACTAGAAGCAGCAGCGGCTGCAACAGTGAGTGCATTTAAAATCGTGTGATGCATTTAAAGTTGGGGAGGTATTAAAGCACACACAATTATCCAGAGGATTTGGAATGTATCTGCACTTTCTGTAAATGATGAGAGCATCTCTAGCAGGCGGGACCAGTCTTTGTCTCCAGAATATAAATTCCAATAACCTCAGTATAATTGTGATGATACATTCCAAACTAGTTGTACACAAATGCAAGATTACCATGAAGCAACTGCAGAATGCGAAAACATTGCACTGAAGCAGTTCCAGTGAGATCCTACCCAACAAAAGCAACACGAGGATGCCTTGTCTCTGTAGCTTCCCAGAAAAATGTCCTTGGTTTTAATGTTCTTGGAAGTTTTTATAAAAAGGGTTGTTTTCTATTCGAAGCGTTTTTGTTTACATTCCATATTCCCAAAAATCATGTTTCGGTGATTTTTCTCCCAGTACCTTCACATCAGCAGTTCAAAATTTTTGTCTGCTTTTTGGAGTTGGGGGTTGGGGGAGGGAAAGGGACTCAGATCTGATGTTACAATAAAAATGACTGTGTGCAGACAAGGTTGTCAGTAACAGCTGTCTACAACTGCTTATGTGAAATCAGTATACCGCCCTCCATGGCGAAAGCCTACTGCCAGCCAGTGCCGAGTGACAGAGCTTTCATAGCTCTGTCCCTTCCTCAGAAGGGCATGTACGAAATTATTTATCCAACTCAAAGTAAAAAAAGTGGCTTTTTTTAAAGCAAAGAGATTTAAATTATGTACAGATATTCTGGATGGTATTAGCCTTTCAACAAAGGTATTCAGTGACAAGTTTAAATTGGGTGTAAAGTTTCTTAGATACCAGCAAGTGCTCCCTTAACAGATCTTTCTTAAACTGCCTGAAAAAGGCATGCAGGAGTGCTGAGAAATAGATATTTTTCAGGTCTCCAAGCTGTTTAATAAGATAGGGGCACAAAAAATCTTCTGTGTAAGAAACTATAATAATTCCGAGGATCTGACCTAGAGGAGAGAGATTAGCCATGTGTGACTGAAAGCTCTGTGGTTCTCTTCTAACCCATAAATATACATTTTGGAGCAATTAAAAATGTAGTGTAAACAACACTGCCTTTAATATTCACTGTTGGTAACTTGTAACATTTCAGTGCCAGTCCAAAAACAGAAACAACTCAAAGCCCAGAGATAAATATAAGCTTTATCATTCTCACATAGAAGTGTACTATTTACTGTGTAATATATGTCTGTTTCACTTTCAACATTGTTATCTGTTCCTTTACGAACATAACATCTCTGATTTTGTTGTTGTTGTGTTTTGTTTTGTGTTTTGGAGTCTGAAATGAATTCAACAAATGTTTTTAGCGTCAAGTTTTACAGCTGGTCCATCTGCATTATAAAATCCATGAAGACAAACTGGGCTTTCAAGATCATCCAGTTATAATAAATGCAGTCTCTTAATAAGCATTCATAAGCTATTCCATCAGGATACTGGAGATAAGAATTACGAAAGTAAACATGGAGGAAGCCAAGTTTTAAACTTTTTTTTTTTTTTCATAGTCATTTGGAAACTACAGAATTCAGTATTTGAATTTAAAAATCATCTTGTCTTCATTCTGTACTCCTGATATAACACAGAAGTTGTACGCCAGGTTTTATCACAAGCAGAGCATTTTGAAGTCACACCCTTGTGGTCTGTCAGGCTTAAAGTTCTGAATGTATAATGTTGTGTTTTAGACTGACAGTGTTTCACCCAATGTTACTGGCAGCTCTTGAATGAAAATAATGGAAGTCCGCCTGTTGGTGCAGGCTATTTTAAATCCTGAAAATATGGCTATGTGCAAGGCATGCTTTCATTGTGCTCTGGACTTCACTTACAATGCACACAAGCAGTGCTGGAAGACTGTCAAACAGCGAATGTGCTGTGCATCGTGTATTAGTGGGATTAAGAAATGTGCAACAGATTTTATAGAACTGAAGAATGAAAACACTTAAATGAAGCGGCTCTATTTTGGCTAAACCACTCAAAACCAAGTGAAGTTGAACAATCTGGTATTTAAGTATTGCCTTCTATATTTGAGAAGGAACAAAAACACAGCTGAGTTTCTTGTGTCAAATGCCTATAAAAGGAATCATCTCTGCAGTCCTGAACTTCCACATAAAGGAAGGTCTGATTCTTTTCCTTGTGTGTGGCTTTAGTATGCCTGTCAAAAATTGGTGTGGGCTGAGCATGTGTGTGTGTTTTAGTGTGTCAGATAATGGCAAATGCTAGAAGAAAATCGCATGAGTCGCTTCATGTAGAGTAGCAGTTGCATTTTTGTCAGTTTCCAAGGGGTTTGCCCACCAGTTGTTGGAAATGTAACAGCTGTTTGTAGTTTTGGAGAAAACATGGCTCTTGATGAAAGGTGAAATTATGTTTTGTAAAGAGTTGTTGTTCAAATTGGTTATATAATTTTTCTGTTTCAGATCCAGC